AAACCTGCGCTATACTAACTAGATAGCTGTAGCGCAGGTGAAACACACCGCGCTACTACTATTTTGTCGCCAGCTATGCTGTAACTACAACAGCAGTGTATAAAATACCAACGCATCCCGTCCCCTCGGTCTCTCTCTAACTCATATCTTTCTCCTGTGTTCCGAGGTATGTCTGTACATGCTAGGCTCGCCAAGTCAACCTAAGTGTTTTGCATGTGTAAATCTGGCTTACACCCATTGTATGCTAACGTTAGAATCTATCACACCCGATCATCACGTGGTGCTTCGAAACAATGAACCTTCGCAATGATGCACAGTTAGGGGGAACACTTTTCTTGAAATTTTAGTGAGGAATCATCTTATTTATGCTACCATCGTTCTAAAAATAAGATGTAAACATGACAAACATCACATGCAAATCATAAAGTGACATGATATGGCCAATATCGTCTTGCGCCATTGATCTCCATCTTCGAGGCACGGCATGAACACCATCGTCACCGGCATGACACCATGATCTCCATCATCGTGTCTACATGAAGTTGTCTCGCCAACTATTACTTCTACTACTATGACTAATGGTTAGCAATAAAGTAAAGTAATTACATGGCGTTTTCATTGACAGCAGGTCATACAATAAATTAAGACAACTCCTATGGCTCCTGCCGGTTGTCATATTCATCGACATGGAAGTCATGATTCCTATTAGAAGAACATGATCAATCTCATACATCACATACATCATTCATCACATCCTTTTGGCCATATCACATCACATAGCATAGCCTGCAAAAACAAGTTAGATGTCTTCTAATTGTTGTTGCACTTTTTTACGTGTCTGCTATGTGTTTCTAGCAAGAACGTTTCTTACCTACGCAAAACCACAACCGTGATATGCCAATTGCTATTTACCCTTCATAAGGACCTTTTTCATCGAATTCGATCCGACTAAAGTGGGAGAGACAGACACCCGCTAGCCACCTTATGCATCAAGTGCATGTCAGTCGGTGGAATCAGTCTCACGTAAGCATACGTGTAAGGTCGGTCCGGGCCGCTTCATCCCACAATGCCGCCGAATCAAGATAAGACTAGTAACTGTAAGCAAATTGAACAAATCATCGCCCACAACTGCTTTGTGTTCTACTCGTGCATAGAATCTACGCATAGACCTAGCTCATCATGCCACTGTAGGGGAACGTACCAATAATTTAAAAAATTTCCTACGTGTC